TGCAATATTTTATTTATTAATGTATACCATAATGTGACTTGCAATAAAGGTGTTTAGAAAAACAAGGAGCTAGAAGAGAATGCATACATGATTATTTGTCTCTATCACCCAAGTTACTGAACTCCTCTCCCCAGAGAAATGAGTTGGGATTTCAAAGCATCAAATAAGGAAAAATCCTTCCATTCAGTACTTCAGGACAATTAACAAAGAGGTCAAAAACAAAAATTTAACTTCTTATTGCCTGAAAAGCAAGCTTCTACCCCACAATTAAACACCTTTCAGGAACTGACTGACCAGTGCATCTGACCTGAAACTGAAATTGGAAGTGGGTTACATGCTTCAGGTTCCTTGCAAAACAAGAAGTAAACAGAAGTAATTCTAATATACCCACATGCCCCTAAATTTATCAAATCCCTCCTCTGTCTCCACTCAGCCAGCCGCACCCCAGATGGCAAAGTAAGTTTAATATAACCGTCTGTATCCTACTCCCATTAAAAATCGATGCAAGTTTTTCCATTGATTTGAATGACAGTAAGAACACTGTCTACATGTGTTTTTTATATAAAGTGCAACAGGGACTGAACTTGCTACCCAGTGAAATTTATGAAGACACTGAAGGTAGAGGCAGCCACACATGAAGATCCATGTTGCCCCAAAGTCATCTTAAAAATTCCTAGACTGGATGCAGCACATGCATATGTTCTAGAACGAGTATGGTCTGCATTAACTGCTATGAAAAATGTCATTACACCAAGTGCATCTTAATTTGCGAGGTTGATAACAGGCAGTTTGAAGGAAAGTCTTTGGATGCCAAGCATGACTAAGATTTTAGCAGAACTTAGTATCTTCACCTGATTTAGGCACCTAAGTCTCTATGTATTCTTAAATTCAAAAGTTCAGAACTGAGCAACCAGTTCTTGCTGTTTTTGAAAAACAGAGTGCCATCTGTGGAAGCTGCTGGGTTCTCAGCACTTCTGAAAATGAGGATACCTACACAAGCAGCTCAGTGGGAACTTAGGGACCTAATGTAAAATACACCTCTGTGAATCCTGACCAACAGGAACTGTAGGTATTGTGTGAGAGGGTGACATGGCTGTATTTAAAAAGCAACAAATTTCCTTTTCTGGTGTTACAGAAAATGGGAAATAAATGGTTACAAGCAAAACCTTTCCTAATTTGTTACGGTGCAGCTGTTTAAGACAGGGATGTGGTATCTGCATGCACACACATACAGATGTATTACATGAAGCATTTTCAGTATTCTTGTTCTGACAAGACAGCGGCAGAAGGAAAAGCGTATCAGCATTGAAACTCAGCTGAAGTAATGTGGATGCTTATAAATGCAGTCAGTACATGTTGATCCCAACTGGACAAGCATCTCAGCTGATAGCAACAGTGGTAGAAAAAACATTCCTCAACTTCTGTATCTTTTCAACAACCTTAATACTCTGTTATTGCCTAGTCACACATTAAAATTATGGAGCCTATCATGCAAGACAACCTGTCTTACAGCCCCCAGAGAAGTTGTGGAATTGCTATTCCTGGAAATTTTCAAGACACTTGATTTGGGAAGATACAAACAGGGGTGATCCTGCCTTGAGCTGGGAGCTGGATTTGATGACCTTATCCAGCCCCTTCCAGCCCTACTTCCCTATAATCACTGAAAATAAGTTTGATTGGTATTTCTAGATCTTCCCTTGAACCAAGAGAACAGATAGTTTACTTGAACCCAGTTATATATAATATATTCCCACAACTATTGGGCAAAAAAATGTTTTCCAGCAGTAATAAGAAGCAAAAACTCATCTGAATCTTAAAAGAAAAGGCTGGGGCCAAATAACAGAGATATTTTAGAGACATCTCAATGGTAGCCAGCATATTCCTTCTCTTCCTAGAACCCCTTCTGCTGTCCCAGTCCCAACTCTTTCACCTACCTTTGCATGTGATTTTACGCTGTCTAGAAATAGTCTTTTAATCAACATACACCTGCCGCAGCTCCATTTACTTTACAAGTTTCCGAAAACTCACCAGTTCCAAAGAGCATTCCAGAGACAGTTACCGCATTCCCCTCAGAACATCATAGCTACTTGTATTTATACTGCACACATTCATGTTTCCAGTGAAAAAAGTCCTCACAGCAGGGTTTATATTCCTGATCTGACATAATGACCAAGGGAAAATGCATGAATACTTACAGTGCTATACACTTGCTAGGCAATGATAGTTTACCCATTCTTCACTCTTTGCTTTTGCTTTCTAGGCTGCCCACTTCCATAACTTTCACTTTGCAAAGTAATAGAAATAAATCTACGTTAATAGTCTTAAACCTCCTCAGATCATTGGAAATTTTACCTAAGAAAATACAACTTTCTGAGGAGGACCATCTGGACTTGTTTTCATAAACAAAAGGGGTGATATGTCCCCAAACACTAATGTAACAGGCTTTATCACAACCTAGATCTCCTCAGATGTGTGCCATCTAGAAAGGATCTTCTGGTCTCCTTCACAAGGTAAAGAAAGTATCTTAACCAACAAAGCCTTTCAACTTACAATGCCATAATGCATGCAGATATAGCACTCTCCAGTCACAAGGTTCAACATACATTCTGCATAACAAATCAGAGAAGTAGGTCTAGAAGGGACCTAAAGAAGTCATCTAGTCCAACCCCCTGTCTGAGGCAGCAAAGGTCTTGTGTCCCGTAGGGGGATCAAGCCTGTGACCTTGGCATTAGCACGGCATCTTCATTTACATTTGCTAAATTCTACATGCATTTAACAAAAGAATGCTTCCTCTTATTGCCTGCAGGAAGCACAGCTAAGTGTAGTTTGTGCAAACAAAGGGGTTTATGCTCTGTTCTTTAATTAATAAGAACAGCCGGGAAACAAAACTCAAGCATTTCCTATCACATCACCTTCAGCTAAGCGCACTCAGACAGATGGACACAGCCCTGATGACATCACAACCTGTGGAATATATGAGTACTATGGAGCACATGCTGCTAGGAAACAAAGCACATAGATGAAATCAAATCTTCTGATGTACAGCCTTGGGATGCATTTTCTAGAGCGAGAAACAAATCATTCTGCAATCACTCAACAAGCCTAGAAAGTGAAAAAAACAACTCCTATATTATGGAGCACGGCAGTCACATGCAAACTCCTTAGACTTGATTAATCGTCTCAAGTTCCTACATTCTCAAAAAGGGTATCCTGCCTTTTTTTTTTTTAACCTTTGCACAGCATTTAAGCACAGTTTAAGTCAACTTCAGTGTATTCTCTTCTCATGCACTCAAAAGCTAAAGGATAGCTAAGTCAATAATGAATAATCTCAACCTGCTAATCAATGGTTCAATACTTTCCTTCCGAACTTTTGGAAATGGGTATCTGTATGAAGATCTGCATCTGCGTTCACATCTCTCTTTTCCTGGAACATGCGACCCAATACAGTCGCTTTTACGACACTAAAAGCATAGTACTAAATAAGGAAAGAACACATAACTAAACAGCAGACTGAACCGCATGGGGACTGTAACCCTTCTTAATATTGTGACTACCGCAATTGGAGGTGGGTTGTTTTACCTGAAGGACACCACCACCGTACAATGGAGCCCTAATCTTAACTTTGAGACCAAACATTAGCATTGATCGGCAGATTTGCTTCTTCCCCCTACCCCGCCAGCCCGCCCCTTGTTTTTGAGTTCTCAGATGGGGGCCCTACAAGATTTTTGATAGCAGTCCTTTAACCACAACACTGGGTGGAGTCTGTAAAACTTCATGAGAGAGCGTATCCACAGTGCGGACAAGGTTCTTCGGGTAGATATGATATCTTTTATTAGACTGAGTAGCTGACCTTTTTGTATTCCAGTCCCCAGAAAATGATAATCAAGTAAGTGCCCAAAATACACTGTAGCACACAGTATCTACCAGCCAGTGCTGGCTACAATCTCTTCCCTTACAGCATTTCAAAATGAGAATGGGAGAGCCTTCTGTGAAGAGCCATATCCCCTCCTTTAAAAATCTTAATGCTGAAAGGAAGTGGGACTAGCAGGCTGCCTCTGCCGCCTCGTAGCAAGGCACAGGAGGCATTTTCCCCTCCTTCCCTGTCTCCAGCCATCTCCACATTTCCTAAGCAGCTGGCTGCACGCAACCAAACCCGGGAGTGCAAGAATGCTAACACTTCCTAATGAGCAATCTGAATGGGAAAGTAAATACAACAGGCATCAGTTGTTGTGACTGTGGCAAGCACTTGCTTGGAGGGACACACACACACACACACACAGGCATAAGTATAGGCACAGATGCATACAGAGACACAAACACAGAGGCACAGACACACACAGACAGACATACACAGGCACACATACAAAGGCACAAACACACACACACACACCCCAACCCAGTGCTTTCCCCGTGGCTGAAGGCCCGGCGAGCAGGCTGGCTGGCACAGGGCTGCCCGGAGCCCGCTCCCCATCTCCCCAAACATCCGCGTGTCTCCAGGGGAGGGGGAAGGATCCGGGGTTGTGCTGTTGCTATTGGCGACATGGTCCTTCATGGCAGCCCCCCTCCCCAGGGTCAGGTAAGCCCCGGGTCCTCGGGGCGCTGCACCTACGTCTCCAGCAGCCAGCCGTGCCCGGCAGCAGCTGGATCCCCGGCGCACTGGAGGAGCGGGCGGAGGGCAGGTACCACGCCAAGCCGCCTTGCCTCAGCCACGCCATTTCCATTCAGCAAGCGCTGCTTGCAGGGGAGGATCCGCACATCCATCCAGCGATGAAAGGGGGAATTAAAATTTTAAAAAAGGGGGAGGGGGGAAAGCTTGCAATTTCCCTTCTCCAGCCTCCTCTCT